TCTGCGCATATATGTTGTTACGTTAGTAGTGTTATTGCAGAATTTTATTTCCATGCACATTATTTTATATAATTAAAACTATAAGTTATAACGTCATATTTAGTAAATTTAGCTTAGTTTAAAATGGAAGAAAATTTAACAACGATAATTACGCGTTTACGTTTTATTTAAAGCAATAACAACACCAAATTTGAAGATATTAAATATTACGACAACCACAACTAGGGTCTGGCACATGAAAAGTGAAAGTAGAGTAAAAAAAATCGTCAATATCGATGAACGCAGAACAGTATCGATATATTGCTTCCCATGTGTCCTGTATCGCAATACAACTTTCAACACGAATAATTCTAGACATATATAGATTTGAAGGCTCAAGCTTTCATGGTGAGCTGTGTCAATTTAATTATTGTAGATGTCTGATTTTCGACTGGAAAGTCCAGACGTAATTTAATAATGTTTAATCAATGACGGTAAAAAAAAGTTTTGAAATCAACTCTTGTCACAAAAAAGGAATGTCCACTTTTTGAATAGTTTGGATACCGGTATGTAAAAAGATATTCCACCATCAAAATTCGGCAATTTGGAGAATAAGTCAGTACTCAAACAGGCTACAAACTAAACTATTTAAACCAGGCCTGTGCAACCTTTCCGCAATGGCGGGCCACATTTGAGGGATGCGAGTAGGCCGTGGGCCACATAACCAGCCATCAATGAATCATGGAACTATAAGAAACATGCAATGTTTTCAAGTCATTTATTCAATAATATATTTCAATGTGCATTGCAAATTACAGACATAAAATCACTGTTTCATACGAGGTCGGACCTTGTTAACGATTTGATTTTTTATTGTCATACTTTGATATAATGGGTTTCAATATCAAAATAGGCAGCGACAATCTGCAGGCCACAGCAACAATAAGAAGAGAAAACGAAGCATTTGCTCGTGGGCCGCATTTACCTCAAATTGTACATGACGCCGTGGGCCGCACGAAATCATCTTGCGGGACATAGGTTGCACAGGCCTGATTTAAACTATTCAATATGGGGAGCCTACATCAAATATTCAATATAAAATTATTCATTACAGGTACCAGTATATATTATATAACATTCTAGCTGTC